AAATTTCTTTTTGTCAGCTGATGACCTTAAACTGCGAGTTGGGATGTACAGTCTTAACAGATTTGATAAATATGATGGTGCATTATCATTCAAACATTTGTGACATATAGTGGCCAACTTGAACACAATCCTCTTCTCAACAGGAAGCCAATGCAAAGTTCGTAAAAGAGGTTTAGCAGAGTCTCGATTTCTTTTCCGTAAAAACTTAACGTGCTGCATTGTTTTGGGCAGTTTGAAGTCTTGTATGGAATACAACATGTATTGATTCTGTGTAAGGATAAAGACAGATAGTACAGACAGAAACTTACGTGAAGTTCTCCACCGATGTTATTGTAGAACTGTAGGCTCCAGAAGATAAGGTGAGAATGAGACATTTGGAAATACTTAAAGGTGGGGCATAGCAGCTGTGTAGTTTACGCCACATTGCGGCTGCACCGTGGAGGAGCGACTTTCACGTCATCGTCAGGTGTAAGTGGTTGTTACAGTATGGAATACAGCTAGACGATGTTGGTTATATCCCGTCTCGATTTTTAGTGAAAAGAAATATGTCGAATCATCGTGAATTCGAGGAAAAGGGGGTGGGGGTGGGGGGACTGGGGGGTTGTTTGTTGTTGGGTTTGGTGTTTGTTTTTGGTTTTATTTTTGGTTTTCTTCTTTTCTCGGCTAATTCCAAGTATGAATTTCTACAGACAAAAAAAAGTTATAACGTAGTTCACATAGACTCTAGACATGAACACATGACCGCATGACGTTGTATTCTCCATGACGTCACTGACATTGGGCCATCTCACTAAAGTAGAACATGACTATAGCGGCACCTGCTACAACGGGACCATCCCTACAGCGGGACGTTACCGGGATCCCCGGGGGGGTTTTCTAAGTTAATTCAATTACCTGTGCTCTGGTTTAGCGGGGCAAGGAAAGGCCCAAACTCGGATACTGCGGGAGAGATTGGGTGAGCTCTAGCTGGGGGAAAAGGTTTTGGGGGGCTGTTGGTGGGCTCCAAACAGGCAGTCTGCGGTGCGGCGTTGTGATTGGCAAGTCCAGTGATTAGTGAGGTGGGTCAGGCGGCAGAGAAATGGTGCGGAGGGACGCATTACGTGGGCCACTCCAAAAGTGATGTGCTGTAGCTTAGACACTCAGTATGAGAGCGTATAGGCCATAGCCCTAGACCTAGGCTAGGCAAAAAAGTTTTAAAAAGAGAGGAGAGAGTGTAGTGTGTGATTCCTGATTCATTCATTTACGATCGTTTATGCTCAGCAGGCATACGCACGCATCCACTTCACCAGTTATCTACAATAGGCTAGGCCTACCAGTACGATAGACAGCACAAGCAACGGGACCGAGGAAAAGACGGCTTCCAACAAAGACAAAAGGAAATGCTTCTCACTCGAATTAAAGGCCAAGACAGTCAACGAAGTTGCCAATAAAAGGAAGACTAATCTGAAGCGCAAATTTTATTGATATGGAAGGGGGGTAATCATGTGGATTTTTAGAAAAATTACGGTAATTTCCCTTTGCATTCTTATAGCAGGAACTCGCTTACAGCGGGATTTTTCTTCTGGAATCAAAAGTCCCGCTATAACTGTGTTCTACTATACTCTAGACTACAGCAGAACCCAAACAGTGTGCGGTACAGTGTGCTGATCTACTTTTTAGTCTCTTCTGTCCGACTGTTCGGTACATTAAGCAAGCGGCTAACGTCGAAGAGAAAGCACAATGCGTAAAGCCCAGTTCAGACTGCAGTTATTAAAGGATGTCGATTAGACCCCAAAAAATTCAAAAAGTGAAATTTGCCGCAAGCATGGCAATTCCAACTCAAAGCTGTCAACAGTCATTGCCAGGGCCGTCGAGAGCCTGGTCGGGCCCAGGGGCAGCAATCACCTTCGGGCCCCTCCTCCCCCC